GTGTCATTCCTTCTATAGAGTGAATCTTCCCGAATTCCCTGGTATTGAAGTTGTCGCATGTCAGGCTACCATTAAAGGTAAGAGCCTTTGTATTGCTTCTGTATATATTGCTCCTAGAGTCTCTGTTAATCGCAAAAAACTTTTCGACATATGTGCGGTACTTCCCGCTCCATGGTTGATCATGGGAGATTTTAACTCCCACGGTACAGGCTGGGGGGAGCTGTACGATGATAACCGTTCTACTTTGATTTATGATCTCTGCGACAACTTCAACATGACAATACTTAACAATGGAGATGTAACACGTTTGGCTGGTCTATCCTCGAATGGTAGCAGATTAGACCTCACCTTTTGCTCTAATTCACTATCGTTGGATTGCACTTGGCATGTAATCCAGGATCCGCACGGTAGTGATCATCTGCCGATCAAAATTTCGATTGCCAGTGGGTTCAACTCGTCAGAATCCGTTAATGTCGCGTATGATCTAACCCGTAACATCGATTGGACTAAGTTCCAATCCGCGATAGACGATACAGTATCGTCAGTGGAAGAGCTTCCGCCGTTGGAGGAATATAATTTCCTCTCTAATCTCATCGTCGACAGCGCACTTCAAGCTCAAACACGACCGGTGCCGCGATCGTCAATCCGTAAGAAAACACCATCGCTCTGGTGGGATCAACAATGCACGGACGTTTATCGTAATACGCTTTGGAGTACGGCGCGAAGAATGCGTAACCGGATTCTTAAATTCGCGCAAAAAGTGTGTCCGGATTCCGTGCCGTCGCAGTTGATTCCTCGCGAAACCGCGAATTCGGTAGACGAAATCAGTCAGCCTTTTTTAATGGTGGAACTTTCACTCGCTCTCCTTTCGTGTGGCAATTCTGCCCCGGGATCTGATAGAATCAAGTTCAACTTGCTGAAAAACCTCCCAGACGTCGCTAAGAGGCGCATGTTGAACTTGTACAATCAGCTCTTGGAGCTCAAAGTGTTCCCGACGATTGGAGACGAGTGAGGGTGATAGCCATTAAAAAGCCTGATAAACCCGCGTCGGATCACAATTCGTATCGGCCCATCGCGATGCTGTCGTGTATTCGGAAATTGATGGAGAAAATGATCCTTTTTCGCCTCGACAAATGGGTTGAGACGAACCACCTTCTTTCAGATACTCAATTTGGTTTCCGTAGGGGTAAGGGAACGAACGACTGTCTCGCGTTGCTTTCCTCGGAAATTCAGTTAGCTTTTGCTAAGAAAGAGCAAATGGCTTCAGTGTTCTTGGATATCAAGGGGGCTTTTGATTCAGTATCCGTTGAAGTTCTTTCAGAGAAACTCCACGCTTGTGGATTGTCTCCATTAATGAATAATTTTTTGTACAATTTGCTGTCAGAAAAACATATGAGCTTTTCTGATGGAAACTCTACAGCTTTTCGATTTAGCTACATGGGTCTCCCCCAAGGCTCATGTTTAAGCCCCCTTTTGTACAATTTCTACGTCAGAGAAATTGATGTCTGTCTTAGTGACAATTGCACGTTGAGACAACTTGCAGATGACGGCGTAGTGTCTATCACAGGGCCAAAAGAGGTTGATCTGCAAGGACCCTTGGACAATTTGGACAATTTGTCTACTTGGGCTATTCAGCTAGGTATCGAATTCTCCACGGAGAAAACTGAGTTGGTCGTTTTTTCTAGGAAGCATAGCCCAGCACAACCGAAGCTTCTACTTTTGGGTAAATCGATCACTCATTCCATGTCTTTTAAATATCTCGGGATCTGGTTCGATTCCAAATGCACCTGGAGATCCCACATTGAGTATCTGAGACGAAAATGCCAACTAAGGATCAATTTCCTTCGATCAATTACCGGAACGTGGTGGGGAGCCCATCCACAAGATCTTCTGACGTTGTACCGGACAACGATTTTATCGGTTCTAGAATATGGTAGTTTTTGTTTCCAGTCGGCAGCTAAAACGCACATCATCAAGCTGGAACGGATCCAGTATCGTTGTCTTCGTATCGCGTTAGGATGCATGCACTCGACTCATACTATGAGTCTCGAAGTGCTGGCGGGCATGTTGCCACTATCCGTCCGTTTTCAGAGTTATCTCTGAGGCTCCTCACCCGTTGCGAAGTAATGAACGCACTGATGATCGAAAACTTTGAGAAGCTTCTGGAGCTAAATCCTCAAACATGTTTTATGACTTTATACTACCTATATTTAACACAGGATGTCAGCCCTTCAAGAAATATTCTCAATCGTGTAGTCTTCTCCGATTTCGGCAATTCAGTGAATTTTGATTTATCTATAACGCAGGAAATCCGCGGAATTCCAGAGCACCATCGTCCTATGATTGCTCCGTCATTATACGCTGCAAAGTTTGGCCATCTTGATTCTACAAGAACGTTTTTCACGGATGGATCTAGAATAGAGGAGTCCGCTGGTTTTGGTGTATTTAATGAATTTCATAGCGCCTCTCGAAAACTCGAAGCTCCTTGTTCTGTGTATGTGGCTGAACTTGCAGCAATTCACTACACTTTGGAAACTATTGCTTCACTTCTTCCACACCACTACTTTATTTTTACGGATAGTCTCAGTTCTGTCGAGGCTATCCGTTTCATTAGGCCGGTAAAGCACTTCTCGTATTTTCTCTTGAAAATACGAGAACTGCTTAGTGCTTTATCCGTGCGCTCTTTCATCATCACCTTCGCGTGGGTCCCTTCGCATTGCTCAATTTTGGGCAATGAGAAGGCGGATTCACTTACGAAGGTGGGCGCTATGGAAGGCGACATTTATGATCGACAAATCGCCTATAGTGAATTTTTCTCTATTTATCGTCAGCAGTCGCTCGTTAGCTGGCAACATCAATGGAGTGAAGGGAGCTTGGGACGATGGCTACATTCAATTATCCCTAAGGTGTCAAAGTTTGCATGGTTCAAAGGGTTGGACTTGGGTCGAGACTTCATACGCGTGATGTCTCGTCTCATGTCCAATCACTATTGTCTAAACGCTCACTTGTTCCGTGTGGGGTTGGGAGACAGCAATCTCTGTGAATGTGGACAAGGTTACCAGGACGCTGATCACATCCTTTGGTCTTGTGCGGAGTATAGTGGAGTCAGATCACATTTTTATGATTCCCTTCGGGCTCGAGGTAGACAACCTAATGTTCCCGTTCGGGATATGTTGGCTAGACGCGATCTGGAGTTTATGAAACTCATATATGTTTACTTCAAGGATATTAACCTTAGATTGTAAGTTTGATTAACCTGTGTCTAGTTTGTATTTTGTACGTGTGGGTTTTTTTTTCAATGTTTGTTTTCAAGATGAATAGAAATAATTTCATGCTTTAGGATTAATTAAATAGTTGTATCGTAAACCACATTTCAAACCTCCTTCTTCCCTTTTCCAATCCAAAAATTGTAAATCTCCACTAACCTCGAGACAACCGCGAGTACTCGGTTCAGTTCCTTTAACTTTAAATTTAAGACAGTAATAATGTATAACGCAAAGGATAACTCCTGGTCGGAAACGTGGAGCTTTTCCTACCTGACGCTTAGAACGAGATTTTAGGATCGCTTTGCGAGTCTTACATTCCCAAAAATTGAATTTGTGGTTTTCAAAACAATTTGAACATTTAAATTTCTTAGGATCCTGGCATGTGGCAAATTTTTTTGTTCCGTGACCCCATCCCTGGCACTTAAGACACTGGGTGAGGTTTTGGAAATTTCCTCCAGTCTTCCTGAAATGTTCCCACTCACTCGGACATGGAGCATAAGGCTAGCTTTTTCTAAGGCCTTAAGGTTGTTTACTTCACTAGACTTGAAGTGAACTAAATAAAAATCATTAGAAATTCCGTTGAGTGATTCGCCAGGACGGAGTTTCATTTTCATTTTGATTACTTGGACTGGCACAATTCCAAGTAAATTTGCCAGTTAATCTTTGATCTGATCCAGGAATTCACCATCGGGCAGTATTTTCATGACAACCTTGAACACACGTTCAGTTTTGGTGTCGTAAGTAAAAAATGTACCTATGCTGCTTCTCAGTAAGTAAGAAGACATTTGAATCCGTCCAAGGTTTCAACCAATACACGGCATTCACCCCGACGGCCAATTTGCAGTGAAAACTTAAATTTCACGAAGTTCAAAAGTTCCGTACGAAGAGCATGAAAATCGGAAGTGGTTATCACAATAGGGGGAATCTTTTCCTTCTTGGCATTAAGCCGGGAAAGTTTAATAGAATTTTTCCTGGATGATGAATCATTCTCATCATCCGTGAGCAAATCAAATTGATTGCTCAAATTAATTTCATCAGAAGGGGGATCAAGAGATTGCTTTAGGTAGTAGTAACACTTCCTTCAACAAAAAGTAAATAGATCCATACGGCAAGAGCACGATGCGGACTGATTGGTGTGGTTTAATTTTAATTTCATTGATGCTACATGAAGACAATGTTATAAGCTTGCAATTCAGTGTAAGAACTTCTATAAATTTTCACGCTATGAAAAACATGGACGTCCAATTGTTAGGGTAACTTTCTTGTCCCTACTGTGTTACCTGACTTATAACGAATATACTTTATTATCGACTACCCCGAATACAAAGTATAGTTCGTCTAATTTTACATTGCAAATGCTATGTAAAATTAGACGAGTCATAAGTTGTATTCGGGGTACTCGTATTCAACGTATATTTTTTATATGTCAGGTAACACATTAGTTCTCCTAATACCGTTTTCTTTTATTAAAATTATACTGAATTTTGTTGCGTGTATTTTTTTTCTGCATGTGGTAGGGGAAATGTAGGCAATGTCGGCCTACATGTCCCTAATTTGGGCCCATCGCTAAAAGTCTGCTATTTATCTATTTTATCTAGATGAACGCGTCATTAGGACAGTACTAATGGATATTTTTGGTCGCTATTGAAAATATAGTCGATTGCTGAATTTATGTATGGGCCCAAATTAGGGACATGTAGGCCGACATTACCTACATTTCCCCTATGTACTTACTTTTTGATATTGAAACATCGTCCGGCAGTACATGTCAGTTTTTTATTCCAAGTGCATTGAAGGTCCAATTTGTTTTCGAATATATTTCGATTGTATAATTCATAGAGATGGAACATCAATTTATCCTTGGTGCTATTGTAATGGGTTCGGAACTTAAGGGCCTCCGCGGAACACATGTTCAGGGGTGTTTTCTCTAAAATTGAACAGATGTCAAAGTTTGGTACGCCTAATCTACATTGCAATCTTACACTTACCATCCAAAGACTGCAGGAATGATACTTTTCCTCTGTTGAATGGATAATGGTCTGCAATAATAGAATATATTTAGCTTTAGGCAATTATTATGCTGTTAAGTAGTCATATTTACAGAGCTTACTTCGGCGCTCGAATTGCAACATTGTTATATACCTACTAAACATTTTAAATTATTCGGTGTAATGGACCTTTCGGAAAAAATCAAGAATCAAGAAACTTTTTGAAGTTGAAGATACTATGCATGAAATGTGTTTGGTACGTTTGGCATAACGGACATTTGGCATAATGGCTATGATTCGAAATGTTTTTGAAACGAAGAGTAAATTTACCTTTACAATCATGATTATTCCTTTTTTTAATTGCTGCTCGTTCTTTCACAATATCCAGGTTTTTTTATGGGAACTAAAGGCCTCGGAAGAACAGCTCATGTATGAAAGAAGGAAAAAGCTGCTGCAGTAATATTATCCAAAGCGCATACCTAATAATATTCTAAATATTCACGCACAATACATGAATATTCAAAGAAGGCTTTCCTTTGTTAAATATTCGAAGAAATAAACATTCGTTTCTTTATGAAATATTCAAAGGATTCTATAATATTTGCCTCATTACCATTACCCCGAATAGTTCATTATCCTGTGTAGCCACTGAAACTCTTTCAAGCGATCCAATACACGGTTGTTGTTGTTGGAATATGCTTTAGCTGTAAGTGTTTTATTATAAGTATACATGTTTAGAATATATATAATATTACCTACAAATTTTCAGTATCTTCACTTTAACAACGAGATTCTTCCCTTTAGGTGGTTTTTCCATTTTAGGTTACGAAACTAGGATAGTAAATTTTGCATGTTAGATGTAAGTTTTAGGATATAATTTCACATTTTATATTTCAAGATTTACTTACTTGTAGTAACTGTAAATACTAATTTTAAGTTGTAGATAGTAATTAACTAGGTTTATCTAGGCTTTAATAGCGCTTTCAATAAATGCACGCGCGGTGTTATCACGGCACTATCACTCTTATCAATAACAAACCACAAGCTCATCTGTCTGTCGGTGTCAGTTGGCACTCGCTGTCCCGGTGTACCGAGCACGGCGCCGTCGACGTTAGGACATCTTCATCGCGGGGAAGTTCTCGGCGCCACACTCCCCCACCCGTGAACCGCTACCATCTTCTTGGTCAGGATCACCTTCCTTCACGACGTCGAGCAACGCTAGATTAGCCACTGACCTGCGATCGACTCCGCCTTTCGTACGAACCAACGCTTGCCGTACTCGTCCATCCGCTCCCAGTACGATTCTCTCCACTCGTCCTCTGGTCCACTGGCTTCGCACTTTTCCGTCCACCACCAGCACCAAATCTCCCTCCTTTATATCCCTCACATTCTCGAACCATTTGCATTGCCGTGAAATCACCGGAAGGTATTCCCTGATCCATCTTCTCCAGAACTCATCGACCAGATGCTTCGCCAAGTTCCAGCTGCTTCTCAATGTCGTTCGAGTAGGCAGAACTGACAACTGCTTGACACCTGCTAGGAACTTCCTAGCAGAAAGTGATTTGGCGTTAACGCCTCCTGGTCTGCTGACTCCAACGGAATGTAGGTTAACGGTCGACTATTGATCATGCCTTCCGCTTCGATGATTACCGTCTCCAGAGTTTCGTCGTTGGGCTTTCGAGTTGTTTCCAGCGTGGACTTTATGGCTACTTTCACCGATCGTACCAATCGTTCCCAGACCCCTCCCATATGGGGCGTTCCTGGTGGATTGAAGGACCAACGTGTTTTGGAATTAGTGAACACCGATGAAAGTTTCCTACTTCGTTCCTCTATCTCCTTCTTCAGCTGATTATCGGCTCCATGGAAGTTAGTCCCATTATCAGAAAAGAACTCTGCTGGTGATCCTCGGCGGGAGACGAAACGACGAACTGCTTGAACGCACGACTCTGTTGACAGGCTGTGGACAACTTCCATGTGAACTGCCCGTATACTCAGACACGTAAAAAGCGCAATCCAGCGTTTGGCGTTGCTGCGCCCAACCTTCACCAGAACTGGCCCGAAGTAGTCCAGACCAACGTAAGTAAAGGGTCGCACGAACGGTGTCAACCGAACTTTCGGCAGTGGAGCCATTGAAGGTTGTCGTGGCACAGCCTTGCGTACCCTGCAGAACATGCAGTCCCGTGCTACTTTCGCAACCAGCGCACGCATCTTCGGAATGTGGAACTCCTGCCTCATTTCGTTAATGACCGTCTCTCTATTAGCGTGACGGAAACGACGGTGGAACATTTCAACCAAAAGAAAGGCGATGGAAGACTGCTGTGGTAGAATTGTGGGGTACTTCGCTGCATATGGCACGTGTGGCGCTGCACCTATCCTTCTTCGCATCCGCAGCACTCCGAACTGATCCAGGAACGGCCACAGGTTGAAAATCCTGCTGGATCTGGATACCGCCGAATGACGAAACTGTATCGCTTCTTCCTTTCCACTGAGCTGCATGATTTCATCGGTGTAATATTCTTGCTGCGCTTGTTTGTACAGAGCGATCTCTGCGTCAGCTAGTTCTTCCTGCTTCAGTTCACCTAACTCCAGCTGAACGCCTTGCTTCTTGCTTTTAAGGTTGTTTACGAATCGATGAACGCACGCTGCGGTGCGGTGTAGTTTTTCCCAGCTGCTGAATCTTCCGGTTTCGATGAGCAGTGTTGACTGCATCACGTGCATGCCTACATGGCGAATTTCTTCGTTGGTGGTACACGGCACCATCTCCTGCGTCGGCCACAGACATTCTGGTTCCAGTAGGAACTTCGGTCCATAAAACCAAGGATTACTTTCGTCGAAGATCGGTCCTTTGACCCATTTCGTTGCGAGATCCGCCACATTACGCTCGGTATCTATCTTCCTCCACTCCTGTACATCCGTTGTGGATAGAATCTCAGCTACCCGGAAACCCACGAACTGTTGATATCTTCGGTGATCGCACCGCAACCAAGCAAGCACTGTCTGGGAATCTGGCCACAATACTCGACGGTTGACAGCAAGATTGTGCATTGCAACGACACTGTTGAGCAATCGGGTGCCCAATACAGCAGCTTGAAGCTCCAATCGCGGGATGGACATCATTTTTAACGGAGCAACCTTCGCTTTTCCGGCTACTAATGCCACCCTCATGCCTTCCTCTGTCTCTACTCGGAAATAGACAACACTTGCGTAAGCTGACTTGCTGGCATCTACGAAGACGTGGACTTCAAGTGACGAATACGTCTGATAATCCGCTGCTGTAAAATAGCAGCGAGGAATCCGAATGGAGTTCAGCTTCGGCAGAAGTGCTATCCAGCGCCGCCATAGTTCGCATAGTTCGTTACTGATGGGTTCGTCCCAGTCTACTCCCGATGCCCAGATGTCTTGCATTAGAGTTTTTCCGTGAATCACGAAATGACTGATTAATCCTAGTGGATCAAACAAGCACATCACCACGCGTAGCACTTCTCGTTTTGTTGGCGTGTGGTTTATCTCTAGCACATGTTCCATGTCGGCGCGTACTACGAAGCTGTAGGTGAGTTCGTCTCCGGTCGGGATCCACTTCATACCAAGAACAGATTCCACGTTGTCCACTTTCTCCGGCTTGATCGTTTTCATGGTTTCACTGGATGTTGCTCCAACCTTCGCTGCAACAACTGGATCGTTCGAAAGAAAGTTCCGAATTTCGAATCCCCCTTCCGCATGTATCCACCGAACTTCACCTCCCACCTGCATCGCTTCTTTTGCCGTCGGAAAACTATCGAGATAATCATCAACGTAATGATATCGAACAATCGCTGTCACTGCCCGGGAAGATACACTCTGAACCTCCAGTGCGTTCACATTTTTGACGGATTGCGCAGAGCTTGGGGAACACGTTGCTCCGAATATTGTAACGTTCATAACGTAGATTTCTACTTCTGACGTTGCGGAATCCCGCCATAGAAAACGCAAATATTGGCGGTCCTCCTGCCTGATAAACAAGCGATGAAACATCTCTTTAATGTCTCCCGTCAGCGCGATAGTGTAGAGACGGAAGTGGTAGAAAACTTCAACTAGCGAGGCGAGGTAATCGGGACTCTTCAGAAGTGCTGAGTTGAGCGATACTCCGTTAACTTTTGCTGCGGCGTCCCAAATAATCCGAACCTTGTTTGGCTTTTTAGGGTTTAGGACTACTCCCAGGGGCAGGTACCAGCTCTTACCTGTGCTGGTGTTGGCGAGTTCCTCCTCGATAGCCCGATGCGCGTATTCCTTCTCCTGATACTCCCGCATCTGTTGACGGACACATTCATACAGTTGTGGTTTCTTGGTGAGTCGTTTCTCCAAAGAGCGTAACCGGCGAAGCGCCATCCCGTAGCATAGCATATGCGATTGTACAAATCGTGGGTGGCTATATAATGGTCAACTAATACGTTTTGCAGAAAATATCGAGTGTTGACGCAGAAAATATCACTTTCCCCACACGAAAATAAAATCTACAATACAAGCATCGCATTATACACCTGGCCACATCCTTACAATCGCAGGGGAAGGGAGGGAAAGTTAATCCAACATCTACTTAAGAAGGTGCAGGGAACCCATACTACCTTCATAGGTGTCACAGGAAGGAAAGAGTTGTGTTAGTGGGAGGGTGAATGATTTGGCAACTCTATTCGTCAATATAGAGCATTTGATAAATCAGCGACAAAAAACAAAATATAAATAGATAAAATGGAAAGATCTCACCCGATTGGCCTAGAGACTTTGCAGCGTCATGATTTCAGAAATGCTTTATTTAATTTTCCTTGAACCACCGCAATCACTGATAACGCTCTTCTAGCTCGTACGTACAAAAGAACGCACTCCACGCATAATCAAGGTCATGTATTTTCGGACTGTCTTCTTTAACACCTCACAAAGAAGTTGCTCATCGCAGCAACAGAAAAATATATCAGCTTGATAGAGGTTGTACGGGGCAACAAAGGAAAACGCAAGACCACACCAAGCACCATTGCATAAGCAACAAGAGATCAAAAAAATCACGCACGGTATTCAAA